TCTCGAGGGGAGGGGAATTGCGGTAGGGGCGTGCCGCCTGGTCCTCCAAAGCTGACCCTATGTTAGACCAAAAGTTATTATTTTACACACCCACTTTAGAACTGACCCCTCAAATCCATTCCCGTTTTCATACCTACTCTCCTCTAGTTTTGTAGTAGTGAAATGGAGATGAGGTTAAGAGTTTGGTACCGGGGTGAAGAGTTGGTTAAGTCTATCCGAAAAAATATCTCTGTTATTTCCCTTTCTCTTGTATTCATTTTAACTTGATAAATAAAACACAATACCGATACTCTAAGATCACAATAACGGATATCTTTTCCCGGCCGTTTACAGACAAAACGGCACAAAACGAGTTCCGCTCCCCCTCCCCTTAGTCGTAAACAGTCGCTTTCCAAAACTTCTTATGCTTCCAGCTTAACTCTGTTCTCCGAAGAAAATATTTTTAAGAATCATTCCGTGCCACACCTACGCTAATAGCAAAAACAGATCGCAGACATCAGCAAGGTTCTCATGGTGTGTCTAAATATAAAATGCTGCTATTACAAATCGATTAACCAGCTAAAGAAAGTCGTCTCATCTGCCAGCTACAGAGCTCTGCAGAATCAACAAAATATTGCGCAAAATTTCTTTTCACTTTGCTGAACGTTGCATTAAGTATGGCGGTATTTCACGAGCCCTGATCTTATAATTGAGCTTCCTATGCGTGCCAAGCGGTCGGCCTGGCTTAGATCTTGCTGTCTCCGACGCGGAGATTGCCTCACCTTAACATTGGCCGCGGCATCCGAAAGCAACTTTCCGTCAACATTTCCGGCTTCGATTTAGCGAGCTCTTGCAAGAATTCTAGCACTTTGAAGATCGTTATTGAAAAATTCCTAATCGTTTATAATCGTTAAAGGAAACGAAGCTATGGAGAAAATAAAGAACCAGAAAACCTTGGCAAGTTTAATGTGAGGCATCGTTCATATCAAAACCTTTACATTATATTCCTTTCTCTGATCCGAAGTAAGATAGATTTTACGCTACGAAATGCAAATTTCCCGTTCCATTATGCCTTATTAATCATTGTCATAGAAAATTTTGGGGTTACAACAAATATCCTAAGCTTGAAATGCTTCGTTATCTACTTCTCGTAAATCCGGGGCAGTAGCTCTCGCGATCTGCTATAGACAGCTTTCTTCAAAAGTCTGAGAAAAATCCGAGGTAAGTAACTCCTTTATTTCAGAGTTTCTTTACCCCTTTTTTTTTCTGACTGAGGACAATATTTGTTTATTTCGTATGGAATCCGACAAGCCTAGGATAGAGCTAGTCATGGCTAAACAAAAAACATGAAAATGATAATTTCAGATCTGATTCCTTCAAGAAACAGACGTTACCATTTCGAAGGCAAGTTTAAATTTTTCCACGTCAACTCAGCGAGCTCATGTGATGACTGAGTCATGCTTTTGACTTGATCCCCTGGTAGTCTTACATTAGTAACTCTGAAAACTTTACTCAAGGAACTGATATCCTTTCGCCTCAACTGACAATCAAATAGTAGTATTTTCGTCACTGCTGTGTTTCCTGCACAACAGATGTGACCAGAAGGGAACAATATACTTAGAATAAAACGTTTTAAACACTGATTCTCGGAACTGTGAGCGCCACTATTTGATTACAAAAGAGTCTGACCATAAGAATGAATAGAAGCAATATGACGGATTAAGCAAGATTGCATCGAGACAGGACGTTTCTCAACCGAAGGAAAAGGAACACATCATTGCCTTTTCAATATATATACTTGTTTTGTGAATAGCATTGTGCTGAAATCTTTCAAAAACTATCCAGTAACCTTGACATGCTGTGGCTTTTTTCTGCACATATATAAAGAACAAGCAAGGAGCGTTTGACTTTCTTCACTTGATGCAGTAGGCTCAAGATTGTGCTTCGCTTCAGTTTTCATAACAATGCACAGGAGTAATCTCAGAAGATCTTTTCCTACGTTTCCTTCACTTTACAACAAAAGGCTCCCTAGTTAGCTGAGCAAACGACTGCATGAGTGCTGAGCCCACTAAGCTTCATTCAGTTTTCTATCTGTGACGTTTGTATTACTGTCTGAGGTCGAGTGTGGCTCCTCTCGCAGCCGATCAGAACCTTTGAAGAACAAAGGGTTGTATACAGTTGAACCTCTTGCCCTAATAAACAGACAAAGACAGAAAGCTAAGTTAAAATAGTAAATGCTAAACTCCTTGTAAAGCCAAACTCGTTTCATTCAACCCCTTTTGAGGGTTGCAACAAGCAGCAGAGTGCACTGGAATATGCATCAGTACCAAAGATGGCAAACAATAGCGATCGATTCCGAAGGGTTTTCTCATGGTTCTCCAATATTCCTCCCTGCAAATTGAAAATCTCTCCAAACCCAAATTTTACTTGGAGAACGGATGACACGAAAAGCTCCTTCGTGATGGTGCCACTGCTAAAATCCAAAACATATTTCATGCCATGTCTGCTCTGAATCAAGATTGTACAAACTCTAATCAGTTCACCACTTAATTGTTACGGCAGTTGAACGATAAAATGTTATACTAAAGTCGCCATTCGTGTGACGAATTAAAACTTTGGTAAGTTTTAGCCCAGCCAGTTTATATAATTCAGACTCGGTACAAACCAACAACAAGAATAAATCAATTAATCTCTGCCTTAAACTATAGTTTAAGGTTATCACTTAGAGTCACCCATTCAGCTGCAAGCGAGGCGTAATTTTGCATCACTTTCTATGATTCCTGAGACGGACTCAGTGAAAAAGGATATTTATGGCTCAATCTAAATGGCAAAAGTTTTCCAAATGCGTGAAAAATAACTATGGACGGATCCGTGAGTTCTCCCTCTATTCTTAGGAATACCACACACTGTGATCAAATAAAATGGACAAACTTTGGCGTCCAAATAAATTGGTACATGGCATTACAAATTGCGTTATAGGCTCACTCTTTTCCAAGACTCTGCAGACACAACACTAGGAAATCTTCACAGCTGCCTGTTTGTTTCGTGCACCCTAAAAGAAACATGGATAATTTACCTCTTATCTCAGTTTCGGTACTTGACCATCAATCCAAATATTTGCATTGCTTTTTAGGACTTGTCCCTGATTTCTTCGTACGTTTGCTTTGCACTTTCAAACAAGAAGTTCTAGCGAACCGTATTCCACTACAAACAATACTTCTATTTAGGCGCTTCCCGTAGAATCTAAACGCAGCTCGAGTAATTGTATTTTCTGTAAATTCTTCGCCTGAAAGTGAGATTTATAAGTTTTGTTTGTAAATAAAACATGTCATCGAATGAAACCTTAACAAAATATTTTTATTCGACCATCTTATCCACGTAAAAGTTTTCATAAATGATGTATGGGTGTCAAGTCGGATTTCGTGTAAACCAAGTGTCAAGTACTCTTAATACGTCGGCGAGGTTGTTGAAACACGGAGAATTCTGCTCCACATAAGGAACACATTAGATACAAAGGAATATTTTAATTAGTTCGGATAGGGAAGGCGGCGTGAAGCAATATGCATAGACTCTAACAGTGCGGCTTGTTGAAACTCAGGCTTAAGATCGCTGTCAATTTATGAGGGGCCGATGAAATTCCAGCTAGTGGCGATTAAAAGATTTTACCACATGCCATTTGCTTTTAATTAAAACTGGAAAAGTTGAAAAGCAATTAGATAAGAATTCTGTCAAGATTTTACGAGCTTTCCGCCCAGAAATTGAGTCTGGTTTTCCGAAGGGTGGTCTGAAATGTAAGAATTGCTTGCCAAACGCACGAGTTTGTGTCGTTACAGTAATTCTCTCATTGCTTCATTTAGTTTCTGTCCACACAATAAATCCGTAGTTTGTCTGACCTACTATCAACGAGGCCATTTTCAAAGGAAACAGCACTTAGAAGCCACTTGGCGGTCAGAAGTTTGTCAAACATACTTACACAAATTTAAACAGAGCTACAAAATAAAATCAGCAAAATATTTGTGATCGATCGCCACGTTCAAGTTACTAAGGAAGAAGCTTTTTGAATTCACGTGTGTACCCCTAGAAAACTTTTTACGCAAATTTCGCGACCGTGGTCCGATGTGAGCTACAAAGGAATTATTACATTGGTCACTTTATAATTGCAAAATAAATATTACATTATGCACATATGATCAGCTTATTTAACTTTTTAACTGGAATCTCAAGAAAAAGTCAAAACTCTAACCTAAATTATAAAAAGAAATCTCAAAGACACCATGACAGCGGATTTCTTGACGCCAGTGTAAGGTCTTACTTTGGTTTGAACCGCGTATGACTGCCTTCTTAACTTGGTATAAAAACCGTCGACCGCGCTCGTCTACACGGCACGTTTATACGCGCGCACAAAATTTAACTTTGTCAATCCGTTGCTTTTCTTCAACCCCTGATAATAAAGCAAAGAAAAAACGCACAAGCACAGAGTAAATGATACACCATCAACTGACCAGCGGTACTGTTATCGACAGTGGAGATCATCATGTCCGAGTCACTAGGCGAAGCTAGAAGATAAAGAGAAAGGTACGCCTAATATTGCCGGGAAACAACGTAGTTTTGTGAAAGTATAATCTGTTCATGTTGTCCTTCAGCAGCATAATTAAAAATATAAAACTGTTCTAATGAGGTCTTAAACTGCTGTTTAAAAGTAAAATCTAAAATGCAAGCTTTCGCCGATCAACGGCATCATCAGGGATGAGAAAATACTTCGGGCGCACTAAATATCCAAGGTCACAAAAGTAGCATAAAAAGCTGCGTTCACAAAGAAATGTGACAAAGACAACGAAGAGTGTGGAAAATTATGTGACTGTGTAATACCGTCCGACCGTTTCGTTTATGGTTTTATTTTACAGTAAAAATATGGTGCTCAGTTGTTGTTGCTTCCGTATTTGCTATCCATTTCCCTATGCTTTTAGATAGTGGCACACGAACATTTCCGATAAAAACTACTTATAATCACGCCATTTAATGTTGTAGATTTAAAAAAGGTTATTGAAAAAACTGTAGAGTTTTCCGTGCGCTTCAACGCTAATTAACGCGCATTATACCTACTACTTTTCACCACTACATGCACTTGCGTTGAACCATGGTTGTCGCTAACTGACAAATTTTACTGCACAGCAAAACTGAGTTTTTCCCATATGGTTCGAAACTCTTTAACGTATATTTACATTGCGTAATAAATATTTACACTATTAAATTTGTCAGTGAAGTTTTACACAGGTTTTATAGTAAACAACATCTATTTTTAAGTGTTATTGATTTACATTCCAAGCTCAAAAAAATTAAATTGGGTAAATGATACTGAAAAATTTGAGGCTACAAATAAATGGAAAAACATCCGTATAATTCTAATTATAATCACTCGCTGTGCGTCTGATAAGTTACAGATGACAGATGACGTCATGATATGGTAGCTGAGTTTGTCACTGATGTTCTTACCACATATTGACGTCTTCTTTGATCTTTTACTGTACAGACCCGCGGTAACATGGAATCTATTTACATCATACAATAATAAAATAACATATCTTTGTAATGATGACGTCATCTTTACATCAATCCTTCAATAGATTAAAAGTAATCAAAACGCGTGTACAATTCAGCTTACCATGGTAAAGTCAATGAAAGCCCTTTATTACATACACGAAGTTATAAACATAGCTTCCGCTGGTGAGAAAGAAGTCCATTTCCTAATTATCAGTCACTCTCATAACGAGGATAGTATTCTTAGCGAAAGCAAAATCTTTCAGCTAAGTCTCTTCGATTTAAATACTCGTGGCACAATGCTTGGCACAGAGCACGATACGTGGCATTCGAAGCGTTTTTTCCCTTCCACAACCGTAACATTTGATAAGCCTTCTCATACAAATTATGTCCCTCTTCATCGATTTCATCTAGGTCTTCCTCGAGAATACCCAGCTGGCGTCCAAGCTTCTTCCAGTCTTTTGAGATGGAGTTCGACAGTCCCTGGTGATCATCACTACATAGAGTGCCTTCTTTCAATTTTTTTCCTACGAGTATTGAAAGAAATATCACAAAAAAAGCGCAGTAGAAGAATGAAAAACCAGAATTTGATAAGAGTATATTTAACATACCTGCTAGAGACACTTCCTCGGGAATGAACGTCTCCCGTTCTTGGTTTGTCTCTGGTCTATCGAAATCTGCAAATAAAAAGTGTATGATTGGATTCAAACTTGGCCGCGTTGAATCTTGGTTAAACGAGGAAACAATGGAAAAAAATCAAAGCTATGGAGGCAAAAGAACTCTTTAAGTAAAAGGGGGGGTAGGAAGGGAGGGGCTTCTTAAAATATTAGGGGGGCGTTCATTCGAGGTTGGACATTTAAATAAATTTGACCTGATAGCAGGGGTGCTCGAGGGGAGGCAATGATTCGGAGATCTTCGAATTGAACTCAGTCTCTTAAGTGCCTGAACCAATTACGATGTTCTTCTGTAACATCGCGACCTTAAAATGTGACATTTGTTACCTGTGCGAGCAATCTCAGCAGGAACCACTGATTGCGCAGTCTGGTACGGTAGTACTCGCTTTCCGAAATGAACAGAACTGCATTGCGCCAAAGAAGAGACCGCTGAGGAATACAAAGAAACCATCAATTCTGTTTCATTCTTCAACATTACTTAGCAAGTCTCTCGGTTAACGGCAACGAGAAAAAAAAAGCAGGCACCCAAAAAGAGCGAGGGTCACGAAACCTGTTTTTCGCTCGCCAGCTCTTTCACTCCTCCCCACTGATTGAGAGCCTGGTAAAGGCAAACATATGTGGCCCACGGAGTTAGCGAGTTTTGAAAAACACTCAAGGCTATAATTTCATTTTTTAGTCCAGATATTATTTTATTTTTCGGGAAAATGAGCTTGTTTCGTTGCGTTCAATTTAACATTGTCGGCCATAAGGTATCAAATTACTTCGTTGGCTTGTCCTAATGACGACAGGGGCAATGAAAACATAAATTTTTCTTCTTGGTCAGAAAATGTTGAGTTTTTGTGACAAACGTAGGACAACCAAGAAAAAGTTTTATCAAACTTTGCGCACGTTTCAAGTAAAATTAGTTATAATTAGTTACCCTCAGTCGGAGGAAAGCTTTGTAAAGACAGACCACTGTGGTTTTTACCATTGGCATCGTCCAAGACCTGAAGTCAAATAAATTACTCATAGTGTTAGTATTCTCCAAATAATCATACAAAGGGGAAATCCGGCAACTATAGGGACAAAAATGCTTTCGGGCAAAGTCCTGAGAGTCCTGAGATCAACTGGAACGTCAAATAGGAGGCAAAAGGAACGTATTTCTTCGACGTTTTGAATGATATCATTTTCCAGTCTTTAGGCCGCTCAGTGTCATATCAAGGTCTGACCAAACCTGATTCGTATCCCCTTCGCAGGTTAAATACAACGAAAACCTGATCGCAAGGAACTTGAATTGGCTTTACCTGACTCCAAGTCTTGGGCGGACAAAACTTTGGACCCTGTGTACGCGTGCAAACGAAAGGCTTCCTTGTCGAGGAAACATAATGCGCACAATCATCGTGGCAACATTCTACTTCCGCATGCCAATAACACTTTCCGGTTCCATGAACAAACTCGCGTGGACACAAATTGCATCTAGCGCAGAGATCCCATGATACTGTTTGCAGCCAATGACACTCCTCGTGCAGCCTCTCCAAACTTGTCTTCAAAAAGCTAAAAGAGAGGGAGAGACTTTTGTCAAAGAGGTTGATATATTTTCTTACAAATCTTTCACGTGCATACGTTAATGTCCGGAAAGTTCGTAATGTACACAATGTTCACCTGAGAGAAATGAAGTAAACCGTAGCCTCCTTTCAAACAACATCTTGACTATGACAATCATTACACTATCAAAGGGTTAACGATGTTATAAGCAAACCAAACTTGTCGGATCAATTCACATCGCATCAAAAACCACTTCCGATTACACGAACTAATAATTCATGTAAAAGTTCCCACCCTATAATAGAATGACTCACTTACGTGCACCTACCTTAAGACCTCTGAGCAAACTTTTGGCTCGGTCTTGACAGGGTCCATACTTGGATCGGTGAAATTCCATACGTGTACTTTGATCACACGCTTGTAGCAAACAAAATCAACTGCAGTCTGATCTCCCAAATAGAAACGAGCTACGTTAGCCCACAGCTTTGCCTGATCACACGCAATTCGTCTTTGTATAGATTCGAAGAAAAGGACAACCATTCTTGAAAAGAGACCACCAGGGACGTACTGAGTGGTGAATGTGACATAAACGGGTGCAAGGCCTGGATTAACAGAAACGTCCGGCATAAATGCATCGTCAGGTGTGGAGGTCAGCATGCACGGAACAAGATACACGGAACTGCCATCTTTTCCCGTATATTCACAAAGAAGGTTGAACTTCTTCATGAGGAAAAGTAAAGACTCCTTGATGTCGCCAACGCCCAGTTTTGTGCAAGAGTAATCAAGCAGTTTTGCATCAAGAATGCCGTACTTGCCAAGATCTTTGCGGAAATTTGAAATGACAGTTTTCTCTTCTTTCTGTTTTTCAACCGTTATTATCTGACACAAAACATCAATCAACCACTTTGGATTCAAAACAACCAGACTTCGCGGATCGTCCGCTCTACCATGATAAACCACTGTGCCACGATCGTGCAAAAAGTGTAAAAGTACTTCATAGTCACCTTCGACCTCAAATTTGCAAATTTGGTCACAGATATTCTTTCGGAAGTCTTGCCTTGTGACATAATTTGTCCCCGCGCTTGCTAGCTTACGAACTTCATTTTCCACTTGGAGCCACTTCAAAGGAACCTCAACTTTTGTATGTGGCATGGTATCTGCAACCTTCAGAATCTCTTTCCGTAAGGCAACAACTTGGAGATCTTCTTCCTCTGGTTTACTACCAGCAAGAGTGTTGTTCACTGCAAATGTTTTTCCGATTATGTGTTCACTGAACTCTCTTACTGTGTCACAAATGATGTCCTTTACACTCGTAATCACGATTCCGGGGTCTCCTTGCACATGGTCGGCATGTGTTCCAACCAAAATGACAGGTGGTAATACTTCGCCATTCTTTTCGTGTTTGAAGGAATTCACCATGTCCATCCACCTCATAATGTGATCTAGGTTTGTGTCATTCTTGTCAGGAGACGGAATTTTAACTTCGTCGTAACCAGGCTCTTTCACCAAACATTGGGCTAGGGCAGAAAGATCCTTGGTAAGATCCACCACCAGCAGATAAACTGCTTCACGCGAAACGAGAATAGGATGAATGGCACGGTAAATGGCTTGACCACCAAAATCCATGCAAACTGGCCAAATGCCGTCATCCTTCACGGACTCTTTCCTCGAGAGGTTTTCAGCTGTAAGTCGCACCACTTCATCAGGCATGTCACTGTTTCGATTCTCATTATGCACGTTGTCCTCTTCTCTTATCGGAGAAATTGCATCCGATTTCACCTGAGTCCTCGGTTCTATGTCATGATCTTGCTTTATGTCCTGAATCGAACCCAAAATAGATACCAGTCAATTCAATTTGCAAATTTGGAATGGAAGTTGGCCATAAATAAATTACTTTAATATCACCTTTAAATATAAATAAACAATAAAATGCGTTGAAAACCTTTGGCAAGCTCTTCGGTTCAACCTCATTGAAGAATTCTGAAAAAAAAAATTTAGTTTTGATTAACTTCATTTAACCCAGTAATATTTCGCTTTTTTGCTTTAGTTGTCGTTGCTGTTTTTTTTTTTTTTTTTTTTCTTTTTTGTTTTTTGCGTTACTTTGACAGCTTGTTTTTAAAGTTTAAAAACGTAAGATTCTAATATTGCGTGTCGAGTAAAGTAATAGAAACACTCAAGAAAATTCCGTAAAGTTCTGTTGTTTTCCTTGTTACGATAAAGTCGTGAGCTTAGCCATGCATACTGATTTACAAATAACATGATGTAACCATACAATGCTCTAGAAGCATATCTACATGAGTGAAATTCATTTCAAGCTGTTGATGGTATCACTCGATAAGCTGTCAACAAAGATGTGTTGCGGACCTGCCGAGAAAACTGGTTAAATGACGACGTAAAAACCCATTTAAAAAATCGTCAATACTTGTATGGAAATCATCAGTCACAGCGAGGTGTTTAATGTTAGAACTCCAATAACAAACTATGTCCTACCACGTCCCCTTCCAGTCTTAGGTAGCAACTTGTAAAAGGTAATGTAACGTGCAACCTTCGTGATTTGCTGATGGAAAGTTTTTCAACAGCACAGAAACCAAATCAACATTTTGTATTGAGGTACATACCCTGGTTTGATCCTATTTCGCTGATCACCTCCTCCGTTCTCTGTGTCTCACAAGTCTCTCTTTCCTTCGCAACTTCGCTGTCCACGTAAATTTGGTTTGGTGGTTGGTGGTTTGGTGGTTCAGTTAGTAACAGCTTACTAATATTTAGAGCACATTTGTGATGGAAGGTACTTTTTTCTTGTTCCTCTTTGGAATTCTTCCATGGTTTTTCACCAACATGTTTCAGAGGCATGTCTATTTGCACCCCCACTGTGCTAGATTCATCTTGTCGAAATAGTTCACCTTTCAAAGAACGTGCGACACTAGTTTTGCCAACGCGGTCTTGGCCAATCAACAAGATTTTAGCCCGTTTATCGAATGTCTTTCCTGTTTCAAGAGCTCTCTGGTAAGCGGCCTTCGCGGTGGGTCCTCTGGCCATAATATAGGGCGGGACTGAGTGCTCAGTTTGGAACTTGCTCAAAGAAGAGACATCAGCTCTTTCAGATCTATTATTTTTGGAAAGAATGGTTTGCGCTCGTTCATTCCAATGCTTTGCCTGCTTAGGGGTACCAATGACATCACAGATGGCGGCCAGGTTTCTGCAAAACATTGCCACGTATATATTTTGAGGTCCTGACCTCTTCACGAAAATGTTACGCGCACGCTCAAAGTTATCCTTTGCTTGCACAAGATCTCCAAGGGAACTACAAACTGTCCCCAAGTCACTGTAAGAAAGTGCCACGAAATCGTGCTCAGGTCCTAAATTCTTCAAACGAATATCCAGCGCACGACCATGATAGTCCTTTGCTTGCTGAAATTCACCAAGGGCATGAGTTACGGTCCCCAGAGCACTGTAAGAAGCTGCCACGTAAACATGCTCAGGTCCTAAATTCTTCAAACGAATATCCAGCGCACGATCATGATAGTCCTTTGCTTGCTGAAATTCACCAGGGGCACAAAATACGGTCCCCAGAGCACTGTAAGAAGCTGCCACGCCAACATGCTTGGGTCCTAAATTCTTCAAACGAATATCTAGCGCACGACCATGATAGTCCTTTGCTTGCTGCAATTCACCAAGGGCACCACATACGGTCCCTAAGCCACTGTAAGAAGCTGCCACGTCAACATGTTCAGGTCCTAAATTCTTTAAACGAATATCCAGCGCACGACCATGATAGTTCTTTGCTTGCTGAAATTCACCAAGGGCACAAAATACGGTCCCCAAGCCACTGTAGGAAGCTGCCACGTCAACATGCTCAGGTCCTAGTTTCTTCCAACAAATATTCAGCGCACGACCGTGATAGTCCTTTGCTCGCTGAAATTCACCAAGGGCACCACAAACGGTCCCCAAGCCACTGAAAGAAGTTGCCACGTCAACATGCTCAGATCCTAGATTCTTCAAACGAATATCCAGCGCTTGACTATGATACTCCTTTGCTAGCTGAAATTCACCAAGGGCACTACATACGGTTCCCAAGTCACTGTAAGACGCTGCCACGTCAACATGATCAGGTCCTAAATTCTTCAAACGAATATTCAGCTCACGAACATGATTGTCCTTTGCTTGCTGAACATCACCAAGGAACCCAGATGCGGTTCCCACGATACTGTAAGAGGTTGCCTGGTCAGTCATGCTCAGGTCCACCCTTCTTGAAAGGAATCCCCAGCGCACGATCTTGCTAAACACTAGTATACTTTCTTCATATCGAAAGACGAAATTACAAGAGTTTTCACTAAGTCAAAAGATGACAACGGTAAACAAAAAGTGAATTATTTTGACTGAAAAAGAAACAATATTACTGAAGAAATTCTAAAATGAAACAATTGTTAGGAACGACCTACTAAGCTACTTTCTAGAGTACACTTTCTTTATATCGAACGACGAAACTACAAGAGTTTTCAATGAGTCAAAAGAATACAATGGTAAAAAAATAGTGAACGATTTTGACTGAAACAGAAACAATATTACTGAAGAAACTTTAGCCTGAAACAAGTGTTAGGAACGACTAACAAGGCCAGTCTCATGAAGGGTTACAACTTCTACAACTTTCAAGAGGAGAGCACGAAGGTTTTGTGTCATTTGAGAGGTGCACAAAAGTTAACGGAAGTTTTAGATGCAAAAGATTACCTGGTGGAGATGGGTTTACATTCGAATTCTGCTCGTCTTTTTTTAAGTCTACTAGCAATGATATCGCAAATTCTCTCACTGCTGGCTGGGAAGATAGTTAACCATCAATCTCACAACGAAGGGTGGTAATAAGTCTCGGTTATACCAACAGAAACTTTAAAAAACTGCAAAAGAACAACTTGATTAGCGTTTATACAATGGACAGTCACTATTTTTCACACGATTGGCTTACTTTCATAACACAAAAGTATTAGAGAAATGTTTCCAGTGTTCACGATTTCCACTAAATAACAACCTCTTTGATTTGTATCGTTTCTTAATTGTAAAGATGACCACAATGACCACAGCTTCTTCATAAATGAAGACAAATGACTGGCATAAAACTGTACGCAATAAACTGGGAAAAATGTATGTAATATCACAATTGCTTTAAAATAATGCAATTTTATCTTATTAATGAAATGGAATGGGCAAAACATGCCATGTTCCATTGTGTAACAGAGCAAAAATACTGACTGAAGGCAGAGCAACAAATAGTCAAACTCAACACTCCTAACCTTGAGTTTGTCTTCTGTTTAATTTTTGTGCTACTGCCTGCGAGCGTGCAAGTAATCTCTTAACCCTTTACACCCTAAAATCAGTATGCATATTCTCCATACTGTTCTCGATACATTTCCAAAGATCTAACAAGGAAAAATTGTAAAAACCATCAAAGCTTTGTTAGTTGCTGGTTATATTCTTTTTTTTTTAGACATTTGATTCAAGGGATAGAAAGAAATTAGAACCTTGTCACTCTTAGGGGTTAAAGGGTTAATGGCGATGATAAAAAAGGGGGTATGTTTCTAGACAAACTTTGGTGCTGTGTCAGTGGGAGAGTATAACTGAGTAATTTAGTATTATCAACTGAGTTGATAACGCAAATTGGCCACCGTAAAGAGTTAAAAAGCTGACGTCAGCACAAGTGGCATGAAGTCTTTGAGATTCGAGCCAGCGAAGAGGGCAGTGTAGCATAGGTCTTGGGGGGTTCATTTCCCAGCCAGAAACCTTGCAACACCCTTAAGGACCTTGCACAAACTAACATTGTCGCAATGTACAGTTTCACAGAATGCATGGTGTTCTTCACCTTAAATATCACCAAAATAAGGGGGTAAATTTATCACCCACATAAATAACTTTCAACCACACCCCCTATTAGGGCATTAGATTGCACTCCTAGATGGCAGTGGTAAGCTGCCAAAATTATAAATTATTTCTCAATGCCCCTGTAGGGTTACAGACCCAGAGGCCAGAAAGAGAAATAGGAGTAGTCCCTGCATCTAAACACACACACACACACAAAATCTGGTTATTAAAACAATGTTGAACCCTTGTTCATCCAAACTGCATGCTAGATAATCTTAAATCAAGCAGAAAAAAACACTAAGTGGCAAGGTTTTTGCAAAACTGTTGAAAGGGCTTGTTTTAGCAGTAAAAGTAAAATCTAATTACTTTACCCCCCAACATAAACTTTCAAATTCCATTGATCATCAAAATCCACTGCCCAATTTAGGCTTTGTTCCAATAACCGAACCTAACTGTTTCTATATCATATCTTTTCACTGAAGAAGAGAAATTAATGTTATGGTTTCCAGTTATCTTTTCGCATGGAAGACTTGCCACAAAGGTTGCTGGCTTATTAGGAAAAATTCAAAGCTTTAGGCAACTCTCAAGTTTGATTTTGAGTCTCATGAGCATCACTATAAGAATGCCATGAGCAGTACCACAGAGCCATGCTGAAGACTTGATAGTTTTTTCAAGATGGCAGAAGGTGAGTCAAATGTGCATAACACTCAAAATGCCACCAATTTGATCTGATAAGAAATATCAAATGGACCATTGAACAACAAAGTCAAGCCTGTAAATAATTAAAATGTTCATCAAAGGAAAAGTAAACCAAATTGACCATAACTTTTTAATCAAAAAAACAAATGACAAGATCAACAAGAAACAGTATCAATCACATGCATTTATTTTTGTCTACAAGACAAGTGCTTTGAAAGCTCACAAAGAGATCCTATTAACTTTTTAACCCATAACAACCATCAGCAATAAATTAGAGCTAAAGCAAACATATAGCTATTTAATCAAACATTGAATGGCTCTACCTAATACAACAATTGCCATCGGATGAGTGTTTGATGGTGAGGTAAAACGCCTTAGTGGCAAGATCAATAATTAAACACAAAGCTGATCAATTAGATATTCTGTTAATTGACTGCTTTTATTTAAGCTTTACCCAAAAAATTGTACATTTCAAAAAACCCTGACTTACTAGTTATTATAGTTATTTTAAACTCTGTGGAACAATTGGATCTGACCTCTTAAAAGCAACAATTTTACACTTTAGTGCCAAGCTCAATGGTGGCCAGTCTCCCTGATGGCAAGGTGACTGAGTACCTATACAATTACTGATTGATCAAAACTGTGATTAATGCAAATTTTCTTAAAACAAGCGATCTACATGTAGCTTTGGACGTTTGATGGTTTGTTTGACCTCCAAACCCATTAAAAACCTCATCGCCGCCAAAATTACCCAAATCCAGCTCAATAACTCTCCTAATGCTGTGCACACTGTTTTTTTAATCGTAATTTTATCGTAAGCTACATGCAAATTGAGAAAATAATCTCCCTCAAACCTGAAACATTTCTATAATGAAAACTCAATATCACCAAAAAGCGGAGGCAAGTATGGTGAGAATTATTACTAGATACAAATATATTCACCAAGAAATGACATTTATCGATGTGTATCTTTATAAAATCAGTTGTTACAAAAATGCATGAAAATACACACTAATCGAAGCTGACATGATCACAAAATCATTACGGGATATTTTAGAAGGCTGCGATTACAAAAGCTGCCTTCTCCGAGTTAAAGAGGTATTTTAGAAGCCGATTCGTTTAATTTCGATCCCATGTGACATATACAAGAGAACAAGTCATGACAGCAGTCTGCACCGATCAAATAGGGTATCTCCGTTGACTCACCGTGACTGAAATATTTGGCGGCTAATTTATAGCTACTGAACATTAGCAAAGGTAGCATGGTGTACTTACCGGCTTAGAACGTTTAACTCAGATTCATTGTTAACCAACTTCCGCCTTCAGTTGCCGATCGAAGTTGTTTTATGAAACACAGAACCAATCGCGGGAAGGCTCATGGGAAGGGCAGAGCTGAATAAAAAAATTACGTCACACTTATGCGGTCAACAACGCGGGCTCAAGTGTACCAGGTTTAAAATCCATCGTAATTTGGGGAAAAAAAGGAGCTGGCATTTAAAATCGAGGCATTTTGTTGTCCTAGTTGGCATTTTCCTATTTCCAGTGTTTTAAAGGAGAAAATCATTTTTTTTTACAAATTTTTTGGAGGTTGTTCTGTAACAGAAAAGCAACAAGGGAAACATTGCCAAGAAGCAACAGACTGGAAGTTAAAACATGCAAACGACTCCAAATTCGTTTTCCGCGCCAAAGCCTAGCGCATGCGAAGACATTATTCAGCTCTGTTCACAGGAGGAGGTCCGGGATTGGAGACCGCGCGCTTACGATCAGCGGCAAAACACCACAAATTGGCAATATCATGTAAGAAGAATTAATTCATCCTGTAATACCAGATTTTTTCAACAAGGACACCGCCTTCGAAGAAGTATTGCACCAAATCATAATGATTTTGTCTTTTATTTGATGATTATGAGAAAATGAGATTAAATACGTAACAACTTGGTAATCTGCTTTGTAGATTCCGTCTTTTGGTTATTTCCCTTTCCCTTTTATTCATTTTAACTTGATAAATAAAAAAGAATACCAGCTCTTAGATAACAATAACGGACATCTTTTTCCGGCCGTCTACAGACAAAACGGCACAAAACGAGTTCCCCTCCCCCTCCCCTTAGTCTTTTACAGTCGCTTTCCAAAACTTCTTATGCTTCCAGTTTCATTCTGTTCTCCGAAGAAAATATTTTAAGAATCATTCCTTGCCACACCTACGCTTATAGCAAAAACAGATCGCAGACATCAGCAATGTTCTCATGGTGCGTCTAAATACAAAATGCTGCTATTACAAATCGATTAACCAGCTAGAGAAATTCGTCTCATCTGCAAGCTACAGAGCTCAACAAAATATTGCGCAAAATTTATTTTCACTTTACTGGACTTTGCATCAAGCATGACGGTATTACACGGGTCCTGATTTTCAATTGAGCTTCCTATGCGTGCCAAACGGACGGCCTGGCTTAGATCTTGTTGTCTCCGGCGCAGAGATTGCCTCACCTTAACATCGGTCGCGGCATCCGAAAGCAACTTTCCGTCAACATTTCCGGCTTCGATTTAGCAAGCTCTTGCAAGAATACTAGTACCTTCAAAACACTTTTTAGATCGTCATTGAAAAATTCTTCATCGTTCATAACCCGCTGAAGGAAACGAAACTTGGGAGAAAATAAAGAACTTTTTTCTCTAATTAGCAATATTTG